TTCCAGGTTCTGCAGTCATCTGAACAAAATTATAGACATTCAGCAGATTCCATTAAAAAAAAACCCAAAAAACAAAGAAAAGAATAATATCCAGAAAACTGCAAAGTTCTGTTGCTGTTGTGGTACCTGGCACCATTTTTTTTTTTTATTAGCATCTTAATCATCATCTCCTCTTGTATGGATTCTGATACACAAAGCCTCCTAGTGGTGGTGGGGGTGTTGGTTATTCTTATAGTCCCTCATGGCACTAGAGTTTCCTCTTCTATTTGATAAACTTGAACCAGGAGCCATCCTCACTCAGCTGGAACAGATTCTGCAGAGACCCATGCATACACCTGCTTCTCGCAGGGCCTACTTAAAAGCCATCTCCCAGCTCCCAGCTTGATGGAAGTGTTGCTTATGCCCCACAGAAGGTGATCTGCCGCTATCCATACTCCGGTGCCACAGCTCTGTGGACAGTGGCACAGCAACCTCCCATGTGGCCTCAGGGCTTCAGTCCCCACTTGCTGCCACAGGTGTCCTCTTCACCTGTAACAACTGAAGAGTCTCCTTCCTTCCTTTCCAGTTCAGCTCTGCATTTTGTATTTTCAGAAGCTTATCTTTTATCAAATTTGATATCTTCAGGCTTGAGGCAGGAGAGACTTCCCTTTGAGTTCAGTTGATCAGTTTAACCAGAATCATCATCGCTGATTTCTTTCTTTCTTTTCTTATACTTCAAATATACTTTGACCACAACAGACCATATTCTGGGGGTTATTGTCAGTTTCTCTGGTCACGATGTCAGCCCATATGAAGGGACGGTAGTTCTGGGCTAAGCATGACACATGGTAGAGTCAGTCTCTGAGTAGAGGGAAAAGAGTCTGACAAGGAATTCCGTCGGGGGCAGATGGGGCTGACTCCTCGGACCATATGTGTCAGAGTAGTGGGGAATCGCCAAGGGCTGGCAGTGCTGAAACCAGGCTCAAGTACGCATGGACATGCACTCAACCTTGTATTTCTACACCCTATGTCTCCTAATTTGGTGTCTCCCTTTACTGCATGTGCACTGTGTGCAGAATCAGGTCTAAGGGTGAAAAGAGAAGACACAGCCCTACATAGCCCCAGGGATGATCACATGTCCCACGACAGAAAAAAAGGCCAAAAATGAGCTCTGGGAGGTGACAGACAGAGCCCCAGGGCTCCAGGCACACCCTCCCTAGCCCAGGGATGGGAGGGTCACTCCTGGTGGGGAGTCAGTGTCTGGGGCAGGAGGTGGATCGGCAAAGCAGAAGCAGAACTTCCTCTAGGGGAGGAGGGTGGGTGCTTCAGCCGGACCCACCTCTTCTGGTTTGTGGGGCTAGTGCTGGTGACAGCCCAAGGGGACAAGGCCTGCCCTGAGTGACACCTGTCCCCCCCCAGTACAACGAGCTTCTGGCCTACATGAAGACCACATATAGCCTGGGCCAGGTGTGCCTGGATGAGGGGCCCTGCATGCCTCTTGAGCCTGGTAAGTGCCCAAGACCAGCCCCTTGGGAGAGGTGGACCTCCCAACCCCAACTGTGCTCCCTTGTGGGGGAGGTGACCCAGGGTGAATAAGGGCAGAGGCAAGAGAGCATGGGGGTCCAGTGTGACTCCTTTTCTGGGTGCAGACCTTGAAGAAATCATGGCCACCTCCAGGGACCAGAAGGTGCTGCTGTGGGCCTGGGAGGGCTGCCGGGACTCTGTGGGTCGCGTGCTCCGCCCCGTCTTCTGGCGCTATGTGCAGCTCAGCAACAAAGCTGCACAGCTCAATGGTGAGCAGTCTAGACATGACATGGTCTCAGGACAGTGCCCAAGAAGGCGGGGGGGGGGCGCAAAGCACAGGACCCTGGAGAAGGGAGCTACAGGCTCGTAACCGGGCCCCACAAATATCAGCAGTGCTCCTGTCATGTGCTGGACACTAGGGAGGTTCTGAGGCCACGTAGACAGATGCCAGCAGCGGGCTTGCAGTCCTGCAGGGAGTACCATAGTCAAGTAAACCTCGTCTTTAACACCACTTATGATGATGCTGCAGAGGGAGAAAATGAGAAAAGCCTCCAGCATTTACCCATGCCTCAAACATGGCCAAGAGCCAGGCAAGAAGGAGGCAGAAAGCATCCTAGGCAGAAGCCTCACAGGGGGAGGGAGGCAGAGTTTTGGAGAATCTGAAAGAAGGCCATGTGGCCACAGGCCTATGGTTGAAAAAATGCCCAAGCTGGGTGACAGAGGACAGGACTTTGCAGGCATAGTGAAGATAAGGAAAGACTTGGCATGGACTAGAGAGGGCAGAGCCTTGCAGGCATGGAGAGGAGCTCGTACTGGGACTTCACTCCGTGCACTCCCTTCTCTGATCTGATCCAACACGGACAGTGGCCTTGGGCGGTAATATTCCCATTTGGCGGATGAAGATCCAGGGGACCAGGGAGGTTGAACAGCTTCCCAAGAAGGCTCCTGGGTCTTCTGCCTGCAAGGTCAGGGCTAAAGGGTGGTATAGCGAGTGCCTGGCAAGTCCCCTCTGCTGTCCTAGGCTACAAAGACATGGGAGCTTTGTGGTGTGCTAAGTATGAGTCAAACACCCTGGAGAGAGACCTGGAGCAACTTTACCGGGAGCTGCAGCCACTCTACCTGAACCTGCACGCATATGTGCGCCGTGCCCTGCACCGCCACTACCGGCCCGAACTCATCAATTTGCGGGGGCCCATCCCTGCCCATCTCCTGGGTGAGGGCCCATTGGTGACAGAGGTGGGTACTCAGTCAGCACACAGACTGTTTTCACCTCCTCTTAATTCCTCCGCTCTCCTTCCAGGAACATGTGGGCTCAGTCCTGGGTCAAGATCCTAGACCTGGTTCTGCCTTTCCCTCAGAAGCCCCCCACCGACATCACAAGAATTATGAAAAGCCAGGTCAGTGCTTGGCCCCCAGATGTCTCTACCCTCAGGCCCCCTGGGTGAACAGGGCAGTGCATATGAGCTCCCTCTTCCTGACAGCACTGGAAGCCTGAGAAAATGTTCAAAGAAGCTGACAAATTCTTCACCTCCTTGGGGCTGCTGTCTGCCCCACCTGATTTCTGGAACAAGTCCATGCTGGAGATGCTGACTGATGGGCGGGAGGTGGAATGCCAAACCTCGGCCTGGGACTTCTACACTGGCAATGACTTCAGGTACCTACCACCTACACAGTCTGCAGCCAGCACTATACCTCCACTCCCCCACCTATGCCCTGTCAGCCTGTCTTAGGCCACATAGGCAAGGAATAGGCAGGGGGAGGCCTGGCCAGGGGAGCGGGATGTGAGCCCAAAGCACAGAACAGCAGTCAGATGTGACAGCCATGGCCTTGGTCACTGAGATGAGGAGATGAGGCCTGGCGTGGGGAAGGATAGCAGCCAAGGCCCTCTGGTCTCCAGCCCATCCATGCCAGTTCCTTAAAGGAGTCTAAATGGAGAAGTAACCCAGTCTTCCCAGTGCATTCCCATGCTCTTGATCCTTACTCTGTAACTCTAGGGTAAAGAAATGCACTGAAGTGACCATAGAAGACCTGCTCTCCATCTTCCACCAGATGGGTCATATCCAGTACTTCTTGCAATACCAGAACCTCTCTGTCATCTTCCGTGAAGGTGCCAACCCTGCTTTTGGGGACGCTGTGGGGTCAATGGCCACTCTCTCTGCCTCTTCCCACAAGTACCTGTTCACCACAGGCCTCCTAAGCCTCCAGCTCCAGGACTCAGGTCGTGGGGACCAAGGGGACAGTGGGAAGGCAGCCTGAGCCTGGGGTTGCGGCTTGGGTGAGGGAGTGCAGGGGCCCTCCAGGCAAGGCTAAAGAAGGGCCAGCCAGGAGCTACCTCCTGATTGCCCTGATCCCATCCCAGAGGAAGAAATCAACTTTCTGATGGGCATCGCCCTGGAGAAGATCGCCTTCATCCCCTTCAGCTATCTGGTGGATGTGTTTCACTGGAAGGTCTTCGATGGCACCATCCAGAAGGACATCTACAACCAGGAGTGGTGGAACCTCAGGTGAGGAATGTGGCTGCCCTGTGCTCTCGGCTCCATCCCCATACCTGGTGTTGGGCAGAGCTTGACCACCACTGCCAGAGAGTGCTGATAACTTCTTCTTTGAAAGTAGAGTGGAGGTACAATGTTGGTGACCCTCAGGCCTAGGGAAACACACCAGGGCAGTGTGAGGTGTTTGCTGTCGCCAGACAAAGGCAGCCATGCTGTAGGGCATAGACCCAGCCGAGGCAACCCTGAGGCCTTATTCTGAAGCTGGCACCAGCACTGAGCAGGTCTCTTAACCTCTCTAGGTGCTTCAGTCTCATCTATGAGAAAAGAGATCCTGGTGGTCTTCCCCTGCTCCCTGGTTGCTAGGAAACCCATCATGATTGCAACTGGGATTCTCCAAGAAGAGAACATTGACCACCAAGCAAGCCCCTTCACCTCCCTCCCTTCCTTCTCCCCACAGTGAGACCAGGAAGACAGATGAGGAGGGCCTGAGCACTTGCCCTCTTGGACAAAGTGCCCAAGGAGGGAGGCAGGCCCACTGCCCCCAACACACAGCCATGCCTGCCAGAGGCCTGGCATCCCCAAGCTGACAAAGGAGCCCACCAGCAGTCAAGCAGGGCATGTGATTGGATATTAAATGCTGATGATTGGGGCTTTTCCATATCAAGTATGAGTCAGACTGACCAGTTAAAGGCTGCTGGACACAGGATGATATGGGCTATACCGTGTGAGGCCTGAAGCCCCTTTGTGACCACTCTGTGTTGTGCTCATTCAAAATATTCACCTCCCAGAGGCAGCAGCCCGCACTCAGAGGCCACATGTCTAGTCCAAAGTCACATCCCAGCAGTGGCAGGGCTGGGTGCCACTCCTTCCACCCCCCAGCTGTGATTTCTGGTGCAGGTCTCACTCATGGTAGCAGAGTTTTGACTGTGCTTCCTCCGTCAGCACTCCCCCTACCCACCCCAACCTCCACAGGAAACCTTTTCCTTTTCTACCAGCCACAACTACCACCAAATCAGCCAACAAACCCCAGGGCTGAGTGAGGGCTCGCAGCTCCCTGGGGCTTGAGCAAGGAACCCTCAGAAGATCCTCCTAACAATCTGCTAACCCCAGGGGCTGGTTCAGAGGTACCAGTGAACCAACAACACAACAGTGAGCCTTCCCGTAGACTTTGGCTTATCCCAAAGATGGGTCATTTTATCCCCATTTCGCAGTCATTTTATAAGAAGGCTCAGAGACAGTCAGTCCCATGATTTCCCACAAGAGCACAGCTCAGAGGGACAAAAGCTGCCTGTACTCAGTACTCAGTCTGCCAGGAACTAGTTCTGTGTCCAGGCACCACTTCCACGATCTCTAAATCTTGGTTTTCTCATCTGTAAAAAGGACACAATAGTAGTACCTTGCCACAGGGATGTTTCTCTGTTCTGTTCTCAGCACTATTTAGTAGATGAAATTATGTGTTTATTGGCCCATAATCTGTCCTTTTTCATTAGGATGGACACGAGCAGGGACCTGGCCCTGCCTGTTTCCTATGTGATACCCCTCCAGAGACCAGGCCTGTGAGCGCAGGGGTCCTGAGCACAGTTTAGAGCACAGGGGAAGTACTCAGTCAGTGTTAACTGCTATTACGTTTTGATTCCAATTCCCAGTCCCAAGTGTTTCCAGTTATTTAATGAATGAAAATGCATCTAGTGTTGTCTGCACGCCAGGTCCAGTTTTGATAGACACACAAGTGCTTTAGAACAGAAAACAGAAAATGCTCTGACGTACTTCAGATGCTTGCATCAGGGCCCTGTTTTTCTCCTGCTAGGTTAAAGCACCAGGGCCTGTGCCCACCTGTTCCTCGGACAGAAGATGACTTTGACCCAGGTGCCAAGTTCCATGTTTCTGCCAGGGTGCCCTACATTCGGTAAAGGTTTGGGCCCAGTCTGCAGAGTCAGCTCTGGGAAGTGAGGTTTGGGAGATGTGGGATGAGGCTGAGAATTTCCAGCAAGACCTCAGAGCCAAATGCTACCTCCTTCATCCCATCAGATTGCACAGCCCTCTTAGGTCTGTGCCTTGGGATCCTTTGATCCATTCGGTCCTGTGTGAAGGGCAGAGATGGTGGGAATGTTCAAGTTGAACAGCCCTGCTGGCCCCAGAGGAGGACAGGAAAGGGGGAGATAGGGTTGGGGTGACTGTTGGTTCACAAGGCTCCATGAGGAGAGCCCTGGTATTCTAGGATCAACTCAAGGTAGGGCCTTGCCCGGGGATCCTGTGCCCAGGTGGTGACAGCTGGCTTGCACCCTTGTGGCCACTGCAAACTGGAGCGGCCAACCTGAAGTGGCTTGGGGCCTCTCAACCCTGATCCTGTCCCCCAATCTGACCTTGTGTTCCAGGTATTTCTTTAGCTTAGTGCTCCAGTTTCAGCTTCATGAGGCACTGTGCACTGCCTCGGGCCATATGGGTCCGCTGCACTAGTGTGACATCTCTGGCTCCTACACTGCTGGGAAGATCCTGGGGTGAGTGGTCTCCTCCTTCACTTGTCCTCAGTTGCTCCATCTCCCTTGTAAGGATCCCTGCTCAGGGCGCCCTCTCCTCACCCAGTCACCCTGGGGTACCTGGACAGAACTTTGCGGAGCTTACATTCTAATGCTAGATCTCCCTCCTGTCAGACTGCAGTCTTTTCCTACATGAATTGAAGCACAGCTCCTCTTGTTGACCGCCTTATAGTCAGACACTGTTGCCCACCCCCCTGCTAGCACACATGTGCACACACACACACACACAGGAAATCAAATTGTCCCTCCTGCTTTGTGGTGTTTTGTTTTATTTTCTTTTGGTCTTAAAACAGACTTGGAGAGGCTGGGGGACCTGAAATGAAAGTACAAAGCAGTTCTTATGACATAGCAGGCTCTCTGATATGTTTCGTATTAGTAGCTCTTAACTTTGCAAAGTAAATATTATTATGTGCCTTTTACAAACGATGAAACAAAAAGTCAGGGAGGCCACAGGATTATCGTGTCATTAATGTAGCAAAAAGCAGTCACGCTTTGAACTCAGAACTTACTCCAAAACATGTTATCTTTCACCCTGTTGCCTCCATCAGTTAAAGGATGCTGGCTCTGGTGAGAATAACCTCAAGTCTACTCCAACCATCGGGATGTGTGTCCACCCACTGATGGGGTCTTTTTTCCATTGACTTCTACTAATTTCAATGTGTCCATTTCCCTAATTGGTCAGAGTTCCTTTGAATCTTATTCCCACCTCCCAGAGGACTAAGAATGCCACCTAATTTAGTGTACTTGCGTACTTAGAGGGTGTATTTGTGATTTTACCATGCAGTATGCCTGTAAACAGCAAGCCAGAAGGGATTGCAGGACTGGCTCCCTGGGCTTTACTCACAGGGCGGGATGCAGCTTGCATGACCAGTGACTCCTCTATTTGCTCTTCTACCCTTTCACACTATGGGGATGGTGCAAAGACAGCTGGTGCCTAGCTTTGTGCTTTTCTGAATGTAGTCAACGTAAAAGCACCTCTCTCCTCCTTGCATTCTTGTCTCTGGCTACCCATCATGTGTTCATTCAGCAAAAATTTACTTGTGCCAATGCCAGCCAACCACTCTAAATCCAGCAGAGGGAAATAGATCATGAAATAAATTCTATAATATGAGGAAGCCGTAGAAAAGGCTTTGATTGAATGTACAGAGAGGGTGAAGAGATTGTGCTTGAAGACCGTGGAAGGATCTCAGTACTCGAGAAAGAGCAGATGTCTGGTTTGTTGTTGTTGTTGCTGCTGTTTTTGTGATACCAGGAATGGAACTCAAGACCTTGCTCTTGCAAATCAGGCCTGGCTCCACTGAGCTGAATCGCCGGCCCACTGGATGTCTGTTTTCTTTACACCCACTCACTTTAATTCCCCCCTTTACCCCACCTACTTGGTGAGGCCTTTGACCTCAGCTGTTCTCACCACTTTCTTCCCCGCTCTCACCGGGATTTATAGACCTTTTAGGGTCTGACTTGGCTCCAAAGCAGATGACCAGTTGTCGCTCACTCTTGCTCACCAGTCCCCCTACAATGCCATACAGACCCCTGATTCAGGAAGACCCCGAATCTCCCAAGATTATAACCTTAATCACCATTGTCTGGGCAGTGGACAGATGAGAGGCTTCTGAGAAACGAGGATGTTGTAAGCATTGGGCAAGGTGAAATGGCAGCAGAGTGGAATGTGGGCTAAGCAAGGGAGAGCAGGAAGGCAGGAGGTAAGGGGGAGCAGGTGTTACTCAACCTGGCTGGTTGAGCCTGCTGCATGGTACACAAATCACTGAAACAACAAGCATTGTAATAGAGAAAGTTTATTCTTGAAGATGCCAAGAATGAGAAAGGTCACTCAAGTCTCATATCCACCTCCTCAAGGATATGACAGGGGATATTTGTGAACTCAGGCATGGGATAATTGAGATGAACTAAGAGTAGGTGAAGGGCTGGGGATGTAGCTTAGTGGTGGAACATCTAGGGCATGAAGCTCTAGATTCAATCCCTAGTACCACACAAAAAAAAAAAAAAAAAAAAAAAAAAAAAAAAAAGGTGAGATGGGTTCATTCCAGAGGTTTATTTAGGGTTTCTCTCCATTTCCTGGAAAGAAGAGATTTTTGGCTGCTCTTTTGCCTTTTGTGAAATACAATTTTGTTATGTAGCCCAGGTCAGCCTCAAACTCCAGACTCAAAAGATCCTTTTTTTTTTTTTCTTTTTCTTTCTATTTTTGCAGTTCCTGAGATCAAACTCAGGACCTTGCACTTGCAAGGCAAGCATAGTGCCACTGAGCTAAATCCCTGGACCTCAAGAGATCCTTGTATTTCAGCTTTCCCAAGTATCTGGGACTACAGAGGGCATATTATTGAACCTGAATATGCCTAATGTATCTCAAAACTTGATTTTGATACCTTTGATTCATCCTCCTAAATGCAAATACCCTGCCCAGGTGTTGGAAATGGAGAGTCAAAGTGAACTCCATTCAATTTCCCAAAGTTCCTCTGCCTCTCCCAGCCAACTGGGGAGGGGGGGGGTTCTGGCTTCGTTCACTTTAAAACAAAGGCCTGTCATTGTCACTTTAGAGTTGGGGGTTCCAAGCAGTACCAGCTGCCAGCTTTGCATCCTCGGCCTTCTGTGCCATCTACACCAGCTGCAGGCGGGGCTCAGGTCACACATCCTGCCCCACTGGCCTATGGTCTTGTTTCTGAACGGATAGATTTTCAGAGACTTAAGCTTCCCCCTTCTAGTTTTTTTTTTTTTCATTTTATTCCAGATCTAGCATCTGTTAAAACTTCTAGAGTTATTCGTGGACTTCATTTTGGCTTTTTTTCCTTCTTCTTTCAATCTTGACAACTTTTTAACCTTAATTTCTCAGGGATCCTAACTAAACACATTCTTCTGCAATAGTGTCTGCCAAGAATCTGCTAACCTGTAGCTTCTCCACCTCATTCCTTCCCAGTTGTTGATTAAGTAATGCAAGTCTTCAAGAGCTACAAAGTCCTCTTCAGTCGTTATGTAATTTAATCCTTACCATGGGGAAGCATTCACGGAGCCCATTTATTGAAGAGGAAATTCAGTCTCAGAGAGGCTTTAATTTGTATGTGAGAAGTTACAGAGCCCAGAAGTAGCACTGCTGGGTTTTGAATCTGGGTCCCTGTTATCCCAGACCCTACATTGCTCTCTGAGCCTCGAGGCCTCACCTCTTTCTTGGTTAGATCAAGGAACAACAGGTTGAGAGGGATCAACATCTGCCCACCACTGCTCTGCAGAGGGTCAGGGTGAGGAGCCTGGAGCCCTGACTTTGGCACCCTGTACTCCCAGTGAGAGTGCAATAGGCTAAGCCGAAACTACCACCTGCCACCTAGCACTGGGTGTGTCTGGAGACAGCTGACATTTGTTCAGTGCTGCAGGTGCTACATAGAACATCACCCATGCTCATGAGACCTTGAGTCCTTCTAAACCTTGTAAGACCAGAAAGGATTGAAGAGCTGCTTCTGCCCACTGATGCTAAACACCTCTTAGGATAATGGCTCAGATTTTGCGCCTATTTGAGTCCAGGAGAATAATGATCACAACAGTCTAATAAACATCTCCAGCAGCAGTTAACATTTATTCCCAATCTGCGTTGCAGCAAACCTATAAGGTAGATACTGTTAGTATCTCCATTTTATGACTATTGGAACTGAGGCTCAGACAACAGCAACTAAGTGACTGAGCTGAACTTCAAATTTACATGAGTTTATTTCAAAGCAGGCGACTGTATCCATTATGCTGAGCTCTATGGGAAGATTCTGTCTGGCAAAGCCCCAGAGGGATTCCAAGGGGTCCCAGAAGTACAAGCATAGTCTTACAGTTACCCCCACTACCCAGGAATGCCCTGAAGCTGGGCTCGAGCAGACCCTGGCCAGAGGTCCTAAAGGAGCTGACTGGGCAGTCCAACATGTCTGCAAAGGCCCTCATGACCTACTTCAAGCCACTGCTGAACTGGCTAGTGGCTGAGAATGTGTGGCAAGGAGAAATCCTGGGCTGGCCAGAATTCACCTGTTTCTTTGAAGATTCCTTAGTCTGACCCTGGGCCCAGCCTTAGTGTAACGCGAGGCCCTTCCCTCCCCTGGGCTATTTCCCTCCCCTGACCCAGCCATAACTCTCAGCCTATCCACGGCCCAACGTGAGCTGGCACAGCACTGCTGCTGGCTAACCTGTCTCTACCTGGTTTGGTACAGGCTTTGGCTAAGACCACAGCCCGTGCACAGCCCTGACTCAGTTTCTTCTTGCACACCACCCAGCTAGACTGCCAGACTGGTGTCTGAGCGGAGAGTCAGCCTCTCATCTCCTATGTTCCATGGGATATGTCACCCTTCCTATGCCTATATCCTTCTCTTCCTTCTATTTTTTCTCTTCCTCCTTCTGGAGCAATTTCCTCACCTGTGTCCTGAGGCTTAGAGAAAAATCCAATAGCAATCAGATCCCCCAACAGCCGCAAGGGACCGTAAGGCCCTGCTCTGTGAGATGTTCCTGTCTTCCACAGAAAGAAGCACAAACAAAGTGGCATTACTGGGTCTGCAGATGAAGCCTGACCAGGTTACATTTGGGCAGTGGATGCTGCTGTTTCTGAGCTTTGTCATGTTCCTGGTGGTCCTGGGTCTGGCCTACAGGATACACTTCCTGGAAAAACGGTCACTAGATTGGGACAGCACGATACTCAGCACGCTGCCCTCCACCTACTTCCTGGGTATGGCCATGGAGCCCTGACAGGCTACCCGAAGACAGTGGATGCTGCTGGGCCTCTGCTTCATCCTCATGCTATGCGTGATCAGCCTGACCATTTGGATCTTCACATACCACCGCAGGAAGCCTCCATGGATGACAGCTGAATGGTAGAGCAAGGATTAGCCACCAGTGAGACTGGTGAGGCTAAAGGGCAGGAAGAAGGGGGCTGAGCCAAGGAGGGTGGGTAAGTAACAGGGAGGGAACAATCTGAAGGCACAGTGTCCATCTGTGATCGGGGGCAGCTGAGGCAGATCTGGGTACTTGTGGTGTTTTGGTTGTGTGTCTGCAAATTCAAATGTGAGGTCACGTGCACAGGCAACAACTCTGTGTGATTCTATGTGTGCCCACACCCCTTCCCTCCAGGGGTTCAGGAAGCATGGTTGTAGTAACCTAGTAGCTGTGTCCCTTCAAACTGGCCCTCACTCCACAACTCATTCTTCAAATAGGAACCCAGTTATGGAGGCCAGAGGGCTGTGGGACTTGGCTGGGCCTGCATAAGCCAAGACGCTGTTCTAGTTAGTAAAAAGGACCTCGTTCCATTCCCCCTTACAAAATGTCCTCAAGGAGAATGGGATATTCTTTTATGAACTGGTGATATTAGTTCATGAACATTATGGGCCACATATCCATTGATCTGGCCCAGCCTGTTTTGGGCTGCATAATGTACTGTAGTCCTAAACAGCTCTTTGTTGGCCACCTGAGATCCCAGTAGTCTCACAAACTGCCCCTTGGTTCTCCCTACCCCAGCACAGGCCCTCCCGAATGGAGACAGTGGGTAGCTGGGCACCAAGCCAGGCATGATTAATGATTGACTTCTTTAATATTTAAACAAAGCTCATCTCCAGCCACTCTGCTCCAGAGATGGCCTTGTTCAACACACACACACACCTGCTGCCTGGCTGGTTGCCCTGGGGAGCAAGCACAGGACAAACAACACCTTTCCAGGCTCAGTGGGGGTGGGGGAAGATGAGGAGAAGAGAGCTGCAGGAGGATATCTGAGCTGTTAGCCTGGGAAAGGGGGAGGCAAGTCCCTTCCCCTACCTCTTCCAACTCTTTCTCTCCAGTCTGTTAGACACAGAGATGTCGCACCCAATATTTTCAGATTCATTAAGCCTGGACTAAGGTTCCAGGGGTTCTTGGGAATCCTGAGAGTCAGTGTGTGTCAGAGAATAGGGGAAATTGAAGGAAGCATATTCTAGCTAGAAACCACAGAGAAGGCATCAAGGCTACTGCTGAGTTGATAGGAGGATGGACAAAAGAAGGGATCAGTTCTACCCCAGATTAAGTATCTAGCCCTAAAGCCACAAGTTCAGGGAACAGAGAGGCTGAGATTGCCAATCTCTGCCTAGATTTCTAGATGTTTTCCTACATTATAGCTGAGCCCAAGCACATCCTACTCCAGCCCCCAATTCTACAGCACCTTCGTTTGATATCTCTGTCCCTGGTTTTACCTTTTGTACTGCAAAGCCTTATTCCAATGATTAGCTCTTAGAGACACAACATCAGGAGTATGCCCCTATGTAACATTTCTAGTCAGTACGGGCACTGACACACAAGGAGGACTTGGAAAACACGAATGAATGAATGAATGAATGAACAAGTTTCTCCTCAGAGCTCAGTATTCCACACACTGAGCTTGTGAGAAACGGGCCCCAATTTTCCTCCACAGCCATCCTGACACCCCCAAGCGCAGGCGCAGCCAGGGCACCTCCGCACCTCCCCAGGAGGCCACATTGGCAGCCCTCTCACCTCCCAGCTACAGTGGTCAATGAGGCTCCCACCAGGCATTGTGGTTCTGCGTGGCAAATGCACACCTAGCCCAGGACTCCCAGCCCTTCACCCAACTCAGCGAAAGCTTCCCTGAGCCTCCTTGGCCATCCTCCCTCTGCCACCCTGTCACTGTAAGGTTTATTCTGCCCAAATATCTCTTCAATGTCTTCAAATTTCTTCCAAAACGTCCAACTGCCTAAGAACTTGGTTGCCCGTCAATTAAATCTAGATATTCAAAATGGCATCAGAGAGTCTTTATCAATTACCCTTTACTGCCCAGCTCAGCTTTGCTGTGCCCTTGAACCCCAGCCTTTGCCTAAGTGCATGCGCCATATTGAACGCTTGCCCTCCTGGCTCAAAATTGGCCTTTGGACCTTCTGCAAAACTCCAAGCCCATCAAGACACTTGGTAAACAATGGTCCCATTATCCTCTCCAAGAAGTCCCTTTTAATACACCTCATTCCAAGCATCTGTTTCTTCTAGTATGCTCATTTTCCATCAGTACTCACTTTTCAGTGGTCACTTACTAATAGGTGGTTTTAAATCTGCCCTTTCAAACTATGTCTGTATGCTGAGAGCTCTCAGGCCACTAAAAAGGCATCTTATTGCATATTTCATGTACACCTTCGTGTGGCTTCTAGTCCATCCTCCCAGGACTGGAATCTGGTTGGGTTTGCCACCGGGAACATTTCATGAACAGTGGGGCTCGGCTGGAGGATATTTGTCAAGGGCCGACAGAAGCCTGAGTGTATCATTCCTTGGGTCAGGCCCCGAGGTCAGACTCTAGAGAGAGCTTTTAGCAAAAGACCACCTGTGGTGCCAAACATCTTCTGCCCGCGGTCCCCCAATGCTCCCCTGTATTGGGAGGGGAAACTGCCATTCAGTACCCGAAGGGAATCCAGGAGAGACCGAGGCCTCAGAGAAGTGCTGCCCCACCCCAGGCCCAGGTCTCGCACTCCAGCTTCTAGGATTCGTTGGTGGGCCCGAGAGAGAAATTGCTTGGGCTCTGGCACGCGCTCCTTTCAGCACCAGGACGCGGACAGCTCCCGGGCGGGCGCGGAGGGGAGGAGATGCAGCGAGCTGCGGTCGGGGATCGGCAGGGGAGGGTAGCAGAAGGCCAGGGAGGGGAG